CTTTAATTACCTCATCACAGCCTACTTTTTCTTCAACAAGGCTGCTTCTTTATTCAGGGCACGATGGACAGATGGCAATTAATGAAGGGCCAGTCAATATTTTGTTCTGTCCTTTTTTCATTCAGTGTGTGGCCCCAGGCATTATTTGCCACATGCCATCAAATCCCTGCTCTTAGAATTATTCGTCTTTTTCTGGGCTTTTCTCTCATGTGTATCACTGCAGCAATTGTGAGGTTTCCACATCGGAAGGAATTTCATTTCCAGCACTTCTGTGAACAGAACACCTGGGTTTTACCTACAGGAAAATATGGGGCAGACATGAGCTGCAGAATGCTCCACCAGCAAGGTCCAGGTGGGATTTCTCAGGATACCCACACTGTTCAAAGCCCATCTTCCCTAACCTCTGCCTGAGCTGTTTAAACACTCGGCACATCTAGAATTTGAAATTCAGTGTGTCCAGAATATGAGTAACACAGACCTGGTGGCTCTCAGAGAAAAAAGTCAGTGGTCTAAAGAGGGAAGATCTCCTCTGCTGATGCTGTGCTGGAGTAGAGCTCTGTTGCAGCCAAGGAGCCAGAGTGAAAGAACAGAGAAATGCTGATATGGGCAAAGGGATGAGCTTCAGGCAGTGCAAGCTGACTGGTATTTGTGAATTTTTCACCAAAAGTTCTGCTTTTCCATCTTAGTCATTCTCTGTAACAGCTGTACTCTGCTGTCTCTTAATCTCTTACAAATTTTTCACCTTTTACCAGCCTTCTTTTAGAGGGGGACATTTCACACTTTCAACCCAAGAAATCTTAACCTTTCCTCTGGCATAAGTAGAAAGAGGTGGAGCAGGACAGAGACTCTGTAAGAAGAGTTCCCTGTGCCACTGGCAGCAGCAAAGGGAGCCCCACTCAAATGGTTTCCAGTGAGTGCACTGGGAGTGGAACTCTGGTCACTGAACAGCTTAGAAAGGAACAAGAGGAGAGGAAGGGCATGAACCTCCATTGCTGCCCAACAGCCCCTTTCTGCACTGCTCTCTCCTGCTCTGTGCCCACTTAACCCACCCTTAGAGAGCTGTCTCTGTCCAGGACAGGCTCTCTGAGCCTCTCTCAAGCACAGCTAAGTGGCAGTGCTCTCTTCTCCAGCAGCTTCTGCAGAGCAGCGCAGAGCTCTCTCGTGTCCTGCTAGAAATTCATGGGCCTGCTGGCTTGTCACTCCAAAGAGCATCCAGCATTTTCAGCAAGGCTTTTAATTCCTTAGCTCACAGAGGAAAATATTCTAACCTTCCTGCCCTCCTCAGCTGAGTCATTGACGCTTCCCTACCTTGCTGCAGACACATCACCTTCAGGAAAAGAATTACGTAGCGTGCAGATAACAGCAGACATTATCTTTGTGAACTGGGTGTTTGTTTGGGATCACAGGGTCTCCCTGCCACGAGGACTGCAGGACACACTGGGGTTACTGCTTCAAACCTGACTTTCCTTTACAGGCTGTGAGAAACTCTGTGGTCACTCCAAGGGGAACTGGGGGGATGCTGGAGGAAGCTCAGTCAGAGGGAAGGGGCTGAAGGGTTCTGGGAGGAGCTGGATGAGCTGTGCTGGGCTCCAACACTGGAAGAGGTTGCCCAGAAAAGCTGTGGATTCCCCATCTCTGGAAGTGTTCAAGGCCAAGTTGGATGGGGCTGGTCTAGTGGAAGATCCACCATCTAGGGCATGGAACTAGATGACCTTTAAAGTCCCTTCCAACCCAGACCAATCTGTGATTCTGTGATATGTTGATCTACAGGTGGCATTTGGGCTCCAGTAGGCAAGGACAAGTGGAATTCAACGCCAGGTCCAGCCAACCAGTTGGATTCACTTACAGGCACATGATGACATTATTCACAGTATACAGATACAGTTATTTCTCATGAGCCTTGAAATAAGCTGCATTTTTGGTGGCAGAGGGTGCCCCACCTCCAGCCTCAATCTTGTTCTGTAACCAGAACTGGTGTATCAGTTATTGCCTCTTACTCCAGATGATCCTGATTCCTTTCCCACTGAGCTGCCTGCATTGCCTACGGTGTAGGATGGCTGTTCCCTGACAGCCTGACTGCATGGACAAAGCTCTTGTAAAGGTGCCTGAATTTGGGTACCAGCCCTATTTCTGACCCTCAGGTCCACCTCTCCCTTTATGTGCCCCAATTTCCTTCTCCAAAACATGGTGGTTCCAACACAAACATTTCCTTCCTTACGGTCAGACGTGCTCTGGAAATGTTGCAGGTTGTTGCTATTTCCAGGCCTGTCATTCTAACACATTTTGGCTGCACTAATTCCCTCAAACAGAAATTGTTCTGCCTGTCCTAGTCTGGGACAAAGCAGGCAATTAGCTGTCCCTTACACGTTTATTAACTCTGCAGCTTTCTTTCAATGACTATGTGAAATCCAGTAATGTTTAAATATATTTTCATAAACTGTGGGCACAACATGTCCTGTTTCAGCTAATAACCGTGCCATATAATTAGTCCTGATTACACAGATATTTAGTATCATTTTACATATTCCAGTCCTTTCTTAGTGCCACTGCCTAGCCAAGGCACATTTAAAGCTACAGCCATCTCCCTTCTGTTTCCCAGCAGTTTGCAACAATTCCTTTTGGAGAGGATTGCAGTTAACACAGCAGCTTCAAAGAACAATTTCATTTCACTGGTGTACATTTTAGGTATATATATATATATATATATATATATATATATACACACACACACACAAAGGTATATATATATATATATATATATATATATATATATATATATATATATATATATATATATATATATATATATATATATACACACACACACACAAAGGCTCTGATCAAATGTCAGGTGACAAAGCCCAGGATACAAATAGAAGGCATTATCTACTTACAGGGAAAAGCTGGTATTTGAAATCCATCAGGAAATTAACAACATGAATCTTTAAAAATCTATTCCTTAAACATCTCTTGGTTTTGGGCTGAACATTGACTGTATTTAGAATTTTACTGTGAGGTGGCACCCCCCAAATAAAAGAATATATATACACACACACACACACACAAATGCTCTGATCAAATGTCAGGTGACAAAGCCCAGGATACAAATAGAAGGCATTTATCTACTTACAGGGAAAAACTGGTATTTGAAATCCATCAGGAAATTAACAACATGAATCTTTAAAAATCTATTCCTTAAACATCTCTTGGTTTTGGGCTGAACATTGACTGTATTTAGAATTTTACTGTGAGGTGGCACCCCCCAAATAAAAGATCCCTCACTGCATTAGGCTCTGGTGGGGGGACAAGAAGAATTTGCTCTGTGCAACCCGATTAGAGATGTGTATCTTTCCCTGCTGGTGTGGCTGTCTCTATAGAGATGGACATGGATATTTGATGAGATTAAAATGCTTCAGTTACCACTGTCAGTGGTTCTTTAATTTAAAATGAAGAAAGCAAACAACCATTCCTTTTGATGAGGTAACTGGATGATGCTATGGAAAAGCACTTTGCTGTCAGGTGGTAATTAGGTTCAGTAATAGTTGTGGGTTTTTAGCCTTGGAGGCTGTGGCCCCTGGGAGTCTGAGAGAAATGATACATTCAATTTCCGGAGGAGAGGAAGATGCTGGATGCTGTTCTCTGCTAACCCTGCAGGTCTCTGCAGATAAGAGCATTCAGAGCTGCAGTGCTGACAATCCTCCTTGAGCCAGCCTAAACTGTGGTGTCAAGATCACAAACAGAAAAAGGGAGATGGGCTCAAAGCAGGCCTAACACAGGCAGCCTGGCCCTGACCACATATATAGGGAACTGCCAGCATGGCTGCAATGAGAGGATTTTTAAAGGCTGCAGAAGGAACTCCAGCAATTGCTCTCTGGTCTGAGCTGATATTTGTAACATCCATCTTACACATCACTAGGAAATCTTCAGTAGGGAAGTGTTCCTTTGCAAACAAGAAACATTCCCACAGCTACTCTTTTAAGGGAGGAAAAAAAGCAGGAAAATCTCAAGGCTCAGCTGCCTCCCTTGCCAATTTGGAATTGCCTTTTCCATTGCAAACTATAAACTATATATATTGGTTGTGCTGTTAAGAGTTGAAACCCAAATGAAACATTCCAATTTTTCCAAATGCATTTAATTGAAATTTTTCAGTTTGGAGGCATTATTGCTGTTTTCTCAGAACAGAGGAAATACTGAATATGATGTTTCCCATAAAACAGGTGCTCAGGTTCCTGCTCTGCCCCCCTCTTCATGTTGCTACACAGCCTTTCCACCTCAAGGAACGCTGGTTCTCCATAAACAGCTCAGTGGAATCTCCCCTGCTCCTCACACAAGCGAAGGGACACTGAAAGGATGCATTTGGCCAACACCAGAGAAGGACCAGCAGTGCTGCAGGGAGCCAAGCCTGGCCATTTCATGCCTTTGTGCCTTGCTCACCAGCGCCTGACTTCACATCCCACTTCCTTTTGGACTAACACCCACTGAGCTGGTTGTGAAACTGGAGTAGAGGAGAGGGGATCCCTGGGCAAAGTGTCCAGCTGGGCTGGCAGAAGGAACCTGCCACTGGCTGCCAGCACTGCAGCAGCTCCAAGGGGAGGGGGAGAACTCTGCCTCAGCACAGGCTTGCCAGTAACTTCCTGAAGCACTGAAAAAGTTTTCACTTCCAGAATTAAAACTTTGCGAAATAAAAGTGGGTCTGATTCGCTCTCAGGAGATAAATGAAGGGTAAGTCCATTAAAGATACTGGTGGGAGATTGGTGCACAGCAGACAGAATTCAGGAAAGATATCGATATCTCCAAAATCCTCTGAATATTTTTTCAGACATAAACCAGGTATCTTTCCTGATCATAAATGCTTTATTTCCAAATGGAATTTCAATAAAATAAGCACAGTTAGACTAGCACTTGTTATAAAGCCATAATGCAGTAGCACTGAAGTTTAGTCAGGAAAGGTATTAAAAGAGCAGCCCAGCTAAAGCAAGAGAAATTGCTTTCTGACCTACCGAGTTTTAGGAGTAGGTGCTAATGGTCCCTCCACCAAGGAGTTCAGCCTGTAGTAATCCAAGAATGTCCTGGCCACATTTCTTCCAAGCTTCATATCTGTGAGTTTTTAATTAAGGAGCATTTTAAAAATCATTAAAAGTAATAATAACAACAACAATAATAATAATAATTAAAAAAAGAGCAGAGTCTAAAGGTAAGTTATTGCTGTTTAATGCAAGAGCAAGTTTTACATCAACCATCCCACAGAGCTCAGGCTTCAGGCAAAAATGACTTACGCAGGCAGATAAGATGGAGGCCATTAAAAGTAATAATAATAACAATAATAATAATAATAATTAAAAAAAGAGCAGAGTCTAAAGGTAAGTTATTGCTGTTTAATGCAAGAGCAAGTTTTACATCAACCATCCCACAGAGCTCAGGCTTCAGGCAAAAATGACTTACGCAGGCAGATAAGATGGAGGTCATCTTGTTTGCTTCTTCTTTTCACAGGCAGATGCTGCATAAAAACCCAGACAGGAGGAAACAATCTCCCTTTCCCCCCATGCCTGGCTGCAGATCCCTCTGGTTCTCATGAAATAATGCACTAGACAAAAGGGGCCCTCCAATTTTCACATTCAGGGAGAATAATTACCTTAAAATGCTTGGATACAGGCAGTATTTCTGTATCCAGGATACAAGGTCAGCTATACCACGGTGTGAACCTGCCATGGACCAGTGTACTGAAGGTTGGGATTAATGCTGGAGCCCTCCACACCTTTAGCTCTGACCTCCAGAGTGTCGTGGGAGAATTCACTGTTCTTTCCCTGTGTTGTATTCAGGACCTGAAATGGTGATTTTAGCACCGACCTGGAAGGACAGTAGGTTACCTTAACAAGTTCAGCAATAAGTCTGGTGTGTCTTCTCACCAGCCACGATTTCTCCTTCAGCTGGCCCCTAAACCCAGCATTAGGCAGGCGCTGCACATCAAAGCTGCCATGGAGACCTCAGGGGCACAGGAACCAGACCTTCCTGAAGACTCAGCTGCTTACAAAGAAGTTGAATAACCTGTGGATTGCATTGAAAAACAATATCCCAGACAACATGTCCATGGGGTGAATCTGCTGCTCATGTGAAAAGTCAGCATTAAATCTGCCTGTTACGGAGCAGCATCTCCTTATCACCCAAAGGGTGATGTCCAGCTGGGAGATACCCAGTGGACTCCATTATCCACAGCTGTGCTGTGGGGGCTGAAGCCTCCTTTATTGGCCTGTTTTGAACTGATGCCCGCCCAGGCTGCAATAATCACAGGGTGCTCCAGGGCACTGCCCCAGAGGGTCAGGGTGAGGAGCATTCAGCAGAGCTGCTGCAGCAGCTGAGGTGGATACAGAACCTGGGGAGTCTCAAGGGATCTCTGCATCCAACACCCAGCAGTCCAGGAGGATAAACCATTGCTGGGTTGTTTTGTGTACATGTATGCATGTTCTACTTTATCAGTAGTTGTCTGCTGATGTTTCCATTAGAGGAAAATTCCAGAAGTGCGGCATCCCAGGGGCTTCCAGCAGCGCCACTGAACACACTGGCTTCTAAATGAAGCTTTTATTACCCACCCATTTACATTAGACACATCAAAACAAGTGAGCCTGAGACATCAGGTTCACACAGCACTGTGAGATCTCTTTATCATTTATTTATTTATTTATAAGGAAGGTCAAGCCAACGTGACAGTCTTTACTTCTGCAAAAACACAGACACCAGCTCTAGCAGTCATGTCTAGTGGCTAAGGATCACTCCTGAGACTGCCCTTCTCTCCAATGATCTTATCCTGCTTTTCCAGCTCCCACCGCTGTGCCTGGGGATGGTTCCATGGATCTGTCCCTCCTGAGGGTCTGTCCTGACACACTCATGATCCTAATACCACATGTGCTGTGGGCACCTCTGTTTTCCTGGCCGGCAGCAGGGCAGAGGTGGAGCAGCTGGTGCTCCCAGCTGTTGTCTGCACGGACAGGGAGAGGCAGCTTTGTGGACCAGCACGGGCTGTGTGGATCAGCATGGGCTCTGTGGATCAGCACAGGCTGTGTGGACCAACACAGGCAGTGTGGATCAGCACCAGCTGTTCCCCAGCTGTGCCCAGCGAGCTCCCCTTGCAGCCTAGCAGCACTGCTGGGTAAGGCCAGCCCTGCATGCAGGGAGGCTCAGAAAAGTTGGAGGCAGCCTGAAGTTTAGCAATTCGAGGGAGGGCAGTGTTGCTCTGAAAGTGTTTTGTGATTGTTTCTGGAATTTGGGGATGGCTGGGGGTAGTCTTGTTGTTGCGGATGTGGACTCAAAGCGGTGGCGAAGGTTAAGAGTTCAGAGTAGTCTGAGGAAGCGAGGAAGAAGGGGAGAAGGCTGTCAGGCACTTAAGGGATTGAGAAGACTAACATGGCTTGATCTTGTAGTTTCTTTCATTTACTCGTCACTTTAAAGACATAAAGTGGTAATTGGGCTCAGTAAAGTCTCGAGGACGTTTTGTCAGTGGCAATCTCAGAAAGCTCCTCTGCCAGAAGTGGCCCTGCTGCCCTTTTCTTTGTCTCTCTGCATTGCTTTTGTTTGCACGGTGGGAAGAACCTGACCTGCTGTCCTAGGGAAGGAAGCCCTTGGATGGCAGTGGGGGCAGCCCAGGAAGTGGCTCCACAAGCTCCTGCATTACCTCCCTGCCTTAACCCCAACCTGCATAAATCCAGTTCCACTGCTGAGCTCAGGTCTTAGGAACAGCTTTCTGAAGCTGAGGACAGTTAACCACTGGAATAACCTGCTTTAGCATGTCAGGAAGTCTCCAGACCAGGGGTCTTCAAGAACAGGCTAAGCCCACAGCAGACATGCATGGTTTAGGTGTAACTGGTGCTGCATGAAATTTGAGTAAGGAAACATAAAAGGGCCTCCCAGGCCACTTCACCCCATTCTCCTACAGTTCTGAGCATATTTTGCCACCCACACAGAGACCTGTTTGCTAAGATTGCTAAGAAAGGTAAGGGCATTTTGCAGAGCATTGACATAGATGGAGAGAGTGAAGAAACTGGAAATGCAGTGCCACATACATCCACTGAAAAGTCACAAAATGGAAATAGTTTGCAGTCAGCAATGATGAAAAGAGACTCAAACCAGCATGGGATAAAAAATGTGCATGTTCTAATACTAGTCTCTCCAGCCATCCTGCCCCCTCTGCTCTGCCTGTCACTTCTGCAAGGGATGAACGGTTTCTGTCATGGAAATCAGGCACCTGATACATAAAACCAGGGGCAGAGCATCAGTCTCTCCCTGTGACTGTCCAGCCTGGGCAAGAGCTGGAGTGCCTCCCTCAGCAAGCGCCAGCAGCACGTGTGTGCAGAACCAGCAGAGGAAAACAAATTAAAGCAATAACATTTGCATTTATCTCTGGTGCACGGAAAGCTCAAACTCCACTTTGGCTTACAGTGTATCCTGAACACATAAATAACAGCTACTGCAACCCAAACCCACTTCTACTGGGTGGTTTGGTCACTTGGTTGGTTTTTAACCAGCCTCCTTTCTGCAGTCACACGTGCTGTGTGCCCACAGGATCTCCCTTCCTAGCCTGAACTACATTTGACAGAAGGCCATTTTCCAGTTATTCCCATTGTGGGAGCTCAGGTCACACAAGACAGTCAAAATGTATTTGGGAGAGTCATGTTGGAAACAGCTGGGTGTGTCCTTACCTTCACTAGCATCTGCAGCTCCCTCTCATCTCTCTTTCTCCACAGACTCATTCCTCCATACTCCATATTTCGACTTGGAAGTGGAAACCAGTGTCCCTCCTGCAAACGCCCTTCTCACAGCATTCACTCTTTGAATGGCATCAGCAGATTTGGGGAGATTTCAGGACAGTCTGTTTATGCACAACTCTGCCAAATTTCACAGATGTTCAGAGGTTCAAGAATCGTGCTGTGGGCTCTCTGCAAAATCCTGCACGTTTATGATCCCTACCATGCCCCACAGCCCAAAGCTTCCAGCCCTGGTAAGAAAGGAGGACAGAGGAGTGGGGACTCTCACGAGCCATTACTAGTTTTCAGCTGACACGATTCATTGAGCCTATTGTGAACAGTCTGCTTAAGCTCCAGCCTCTGGAAGTGCAGACAGAGCCTTGTTCTGTCTGTGCATGGAGGCAATAAAAATCTCAATTTGGAAACCAGTTAGCAGTACAAGTCATTAGGGGAGGTACTAAATGTTGCTGCTTTAATAGCTCACTGATCCTTTAATAATGTCACTGCTGCAGAGCGTGGTGGCACCATTCGCTCGCTTTTGTTTTGCTTTTTGAAATTCAGGGTCATTCCACTTTCAAGTGAGTGGATTATCTCTCTTTCCTCCTTCTGCCAGACACTGCAAACTGCTTTAAATAATTAGAAAAAAGGATGGCTCCTTCAAATTCACCATCTCATTTTCATAAGGTCCAGTGTCATTGCTTTGGAACAGGAAGAGAAACCGTGATGGTGGTAAGGATTTGACAAGGGCAAAACAGTTAGCAGCCCCCACTCATCTTTGATAAGTCCTGTGGGGTCTCTGCCAAGCAGATTGGATCTCTGGTTTTATGTCTCATCTAGAGGACGGCACCTCCATCAATTTGAAACACTGCACTGGGTTATTAGCTTATGGAATTCATCCAAGTTTAATCCTAAGTAGGATTTGAAATGCGACCATTCAGTCCAGAGGCACCACTGACCAGACCCACGCAAGTCCTTTGTTTCAGACAAACAGCTTTAAGTTATCCTAAAGACAGACAGAGAGGAAGAAGAAAAAAAAAAAAAATAGAAAGGGAGACAGAGGGTAAGGAAAATGAGAACAAAGAGAAAAATGAATCTTTTTAATAGCTCAAATTAAAAACCAGAAGAAGCTCTTTGTTTGACACAACTGAATTTTACAGCAAATCTCAGTCCACCACAACGACGATCCTGTTATTTATGAAAAGAGGGTTATTTTGTTTGGGAGACTCCCAGATGACTGTGGTCAGCGAGCATACTGTCAGCTTCACACCATCTCAAGAGAAATATGGATGAGGTTTTCTCATCTGTTTAGAACAGCTTCCATCAATGGATCAAACCCCTTCCTGATTCGAACAAGAGCTCTAA